AGTTATATTTATTTAAGTATTTATATTTCGCACAAAAAAAAAACAAAAAATATAGTATAGGTATCAGAAAGCGTTTAAATTGATGAAGTGTATAAGTATGTTGCACTTCATAGTATAGATATAACAAAACAGTATTAAGCTTTGACTACATTTTCTACAAAATAAATGTAGGTGATAGGAAGCTCACACCGGGCCACCTAGTATATTATTTTAATATGTGTTTTTGGGTCAAAAAGCGCCTTCAAATCTATGGAGCAATATGCGTAAAGGAAACAGTCAACACTTTTGGTAAACTATTTAATAATAAATTATATTGATGTTTAGATGTGTTAGGGTTCTAGGAGACGCAATCTGTATTTTACGCTGCTTTAAGTTGCCACTTATAAAGCATAATCCAATACAGTAAGAACAGCGCAGTCTCCCTCCACCGAAGGCTTCCACGCCGAGCGCCTGCCCAGGCGCTCGGGAGCCGGTCGGCGTGCCCGACCTTGCCCACCTCGTCGGAGTATGTCCTGCCGTCTTCCCAGAAGAGGCAGTGTTTAATACACATAATAATTAAATGACTAATATGCTATATTTCCATTAAAATTTGAATGAAAGTTTGAAATCGGTAGGATTAGGGTGTATTGGATAGCAGTAGGTACTTACAAGATGGGGGTGAGCACCAGCGTTGGCGGCAGAACCACCCACAATCCTGGTACCGTCGAAGTCAGCGGCTTCCTCGGCGCGTCTAAGACTCTCGGCCCGGGGGATACCGATCTTGTTGTGGTAGTCGAGTTCGATGGGCTCTTCTGCCACGACCACGGCCGCCAACGCCATCAGTACTGCTGCGAAGACCTTCATGGCTACTACCAGTTTAAAGGTTCCCTCGAGTAGAATGTTGTCAGTCATCACTTCGGTGTCTTTTATACTTGCAAAAATAGTATCTTATCTCAACAAAAGTATCATTTCAAAATTTAATTAATTTTACATGTAAATGATGATAAAATTAAATTGCGAAAATAATCCCACTGCTCATCAAATCATCATAGATAATAAATTGACGAGACCTTGTTTGCGTCTGGGCGGGCCCGGCGTGTCGTGTGAATTAGCCGCCTGATCTAAGCATTAACGGCTCTTACCAAATGTTTCAAGATTTATTCATGATCCAGTTGTTAAAGTATGTTTATTGGGACACTAAGTTTATGTCTCTGTAAGTAGAGTGTCGGGCACCGCCGACCGGCTCCCGAGCGCCTGGGCAGGCGCTCGGCGTGGAAGCCTTCGGTGGAGGGAGACTGCGCTGTTCTTACTGTATTGGATTATGCTTTATAAGTGGCAACTTAAAGCAGCGTAAAATACAGATTGCGTCTCCTAGAACCCTAACACATCTAAACATCAATATAATTTATTATTAAATAGTTTACCAAAAGTGTTGACTGTTTCCTTTACGCATATTGCTCCATAGATTTGAAGGCGCTTTTTGACCCAAAAACACATATTAAAATAATATACTAGGTGGCCCGGTGTGAGCTTCCTATCACCTACATTTATTTTGTAGAAAATGTAGTCAAAGCTTAATACTGTTTTGTTATATCTATACTATGAAGTGCAACATACTTATACACTTCATCAATTTAAACGCTTTCTGATACCTATACTATATTTTTTGTTTTTTTTTTGTGCGAAATATAAATACTTAAATAAATATTTACTAACAATCACGCCACGTTAACTGGTCCCGTGCTAAGTTCGTAAAGAACTTGTGTTACAGGTACCAGATAACGGAAATAAATGTAAGATTTTTATTATACACATCCTCCTCCTCGAGTCGTGTTCCTCATGTCTGAGGGTCGTGACCACCATCACCCATGAGCTTCAATCTTAGGATCTTTTTCCACTTTCCCTCTGTCCACGGCGTCATGCAGCGCGCTGTACACTGTACTGTCCAAAGCGGTGCGGATCTGATCGGACCAACGAGTATGGCTGCGGCCTCTAGATCTGTTGCCTTCAACTTTCCCTGTGATCATGTTTTTCCAGGATATCGCCGTCTTTCCTCGCAATGTGACCAAAATATTCGAGGATCCGCTTCAGACATACAGTAGACAGTCTGATTTTGATGCCCAGTTGCTTCAATATCGACACGTTAGTCCGGAAGGCTGTCCACGGAATTCTTAGCATGCGTCTCCAACACCACATTTCGAAAGTATCGATGCGCATTCGGTCTGCTGCTTTCAACGTCCATGTCTCAGCTCCATACAAGAAGATAGAGAAAACAAGAGTCCGCACCAGTCTGGTTTTAGNCATACAGTAGACAGTCTGATTTTGATGCCCAGTTGCTTCAATATCGACACGTTAGTCCGGAAGGCTGTCCACGGAATTCTTAGCATGCGTCTCCAACACCACATTTCGAAAGTATCGATGCGCATTCGGTCTGCTGCTTTCAACGTCCATGTCTCAGCTCCATACAAGAAGATAGAGAAAACAAGAGTCCGCACCAGTCTGGTTTTAGTTTTCAGGCCTATCCCTCTATTCTTCCAGATCTTCTGTAGCTGAGACATCGCACTTTTAGCACGTCAGTTTCACATGAGCCTTTGTTGCTGATGCAGGGCCCGAGATACACGAATTCGTCTACAACCTCTAATCCAAGCGCCCCACTCAATCTTAGAACATTTGCACGATCCACCACCATTAATTTCGTTTTTGATCTATTTATGGAGAGGCCTAGGCTGTTGCTGATACGTTCCATTTTGCTGAAGAAGACATTTCAGATTCGTCTGCAGCTAGCAGGGTCGTGTCATCGGCATATCGGAGATTTGTAATATGAGCTCCACCAATGCGCACATCTCCCGACCAATCTTCACAAGTCTGCCGCAAGATGTACTCTCCATATGCATCAAAAAGTATAGGTGACAGTATGCAACCTTGCCGGACACCTTTTCCAAAACAGAACGGTTGGGACACAGCTTCATCGATTCTGACAACTCCCTGACTGTAGATATACAGGCTCTGTACCAGCACTATCAGATGATTGGGTACACCAGGAACATTCAATACCTTCCACAAGGAACTCCAGTTGACACAATCA